TTCACATTAGAACATCACAAGTTTGTGAATTGCAAGTAGAACTCACTAAATTATCACAGCCTAACATGAACTTCAAAGTATTCACCATTTTCATTGCCTTTGCTTTGATGGCTATCGCATCAGATGCATTGCCCAATCCACAAGAACAGCGACCGGTCAATTTGGAAACCGAGCCAAGGGGTAAATATACAACGGAATATAATCGTTTCCTGATGAATTGATCGAATTGTGATTGAAACTAAGAACTAATTTACATATTCTTTCATAGGCTCCAGCCAACCGGAAAATTTTCCAGAGCTACCTCAGCAGTACATCACTTGTGATATAATTGGCTCAAATGCTCTCTGCGCTGTTCATTGCATTGGTCGCGGCTTTAAAGGTGGATACTGCAATGACAAAAAAGTGTGCGTCTGCCGCAACTAACTTCTGTTTAGCAAGCATCCCATCAGACAACTCGGCATAGCTCGTTTATTAGATGTTTTCTTTTCTCTTCTATTGCCCGAAAAATCGAAAATCTTGGTTTTTGAATACAATGTAACCGTACAAACAAGCAATAAAGACATTTTTTGATCAATTGAAGGAGAAAAAGGAGATTTCAATTCATTTTCGTGAAATCACATCAATTTATTTGCGCAAATTAGACTAATTTTATTCCAGAAATATATGCAAGAGACTTAATTAATAACAAATTGATATCTTCAATTTCAAGCAATTGGTTACCGTTGTCTGTTTTGTGGTCATTACCAGATACAGAAGCCAAACTCATTTATATGACAACACAGTCTGACAGCAACGTGAATCTCTATGTAAAAATATGACTAAGAAACTAGCGTCATCTCAGGACGTTTTTCCCTACCATATGACCGTCTATTGAATACCGGTTTGACCGAAGCGCACATATACATGAGTTGACAGGTCAAGCTCGTTAGGTTGCGCTAGTTCTGCGCTACCACTATAAACGTCAGCGATCAACATCAACAGAGACACTATAGCACATAGCATTAAACGCACTATTGCTTCACTCTTTGTACACACTTTGACATCACTTATGCTTTGGCGCGCGTCGTACGTTTTTCAAACGTTTATGTTTGATTCAAGTATTTCACCGATTTCACCGAATTTTCTTACTCAATATCAATATATTTATTCTTACTTGGAAGTTTTTTTTTATTGCAATGATGTTTTAAAATATATTTTGTCGAGAAGTTTTTTTTTTCAATTTCCAAAATTAAATGAAATTAAAACACATAGCATGAAACGTATTCATAGTAGAAATGCATATGTATTAGTTTGTACTTATTCATTATAATGTATTTAGATAGGACGCTAGCGCGGCCTGGTTCTGCGTATTTCTGTAGCTGGCAGATTGTGTATGACAACGAAAATATAGTTGATCACTGGTCGAACTATTTGTTCCCACAACGTCATCTGTATAAACATAACAAAGAATGAATATATTTAACAAGTGCAACGTTATCCTAATACGTATCCGATTTGGTTCCAGTTTCGGTTTGGGTTTCTGTTTCAGTGTGAGTCTGTGGAGCTTCTGTAGTTGAAAATGCCTCTGATGCGACTGCCACCAAAACGGTTTATTGAAATTCATATTTGATAATTTTTAAGTTTTCTTTGTATCACTTGGACGACTGGCGATTTTGTGATGTTTCAAGCTCATTTGACGCTGCATTTTATAGTCAAGCACCAGTTGCATTTGTTTGAGAAAAAGAGCAACTTAAAAATAGACTCAGATATTTTTTATCGATGATGCTATTCTTTTTAGTTTCTATCAATCTTCTTTTTTGTTTGCTCCACAGAATGAATTTAGCAGACAATGTTTTCGGCTAATGTCAGCTAGCTAACTGAAAACATTCTGGCTGGTTCAGTGGCTGAATTCTATGCGTTGCGTTTTTTCATCGCATCTGCAGTACAGAAATCATATATATGGAGATTTTTGTTTTGTTCATCTACCGTTATTTGTCAACAAGTCTGTCTATATCAACGCATTGTCACTGTACATAGTATACAGCCCATAAGAAATGTAAAATGTTCGCCATTTATTATTTTTACATTGCCAATACATTCGTTATAGGGATTTTTGCTTTGTTTATTTCTTATTGTTTGTAAACAAATCTGCCTATCTTTTTGCATTGCCTCTGCACATTTCCTATGGACATATACTATGCACATTGCACAGTATTCTACTACAGATTGCGACGAAAAAACGCACCGCAAAGAATTCAGACGCTGACCCAGCCGGAATGTTTCCAGTTAGCTAGATGACATTAGCCAAATACGTTGTCTGGAATTTAGATAACATTCATTCTTCGAACCTGCTTGATCTTGATACGAGCTGCGTTCATGTTAATTATTGTTATTTTGCATATTGATAGCAAATTGAACTAAAAATAAATTGAGCTGATATCGTCTCCAAATGCCCCATCTCAATTCTTCAAGGTGTAGGTAAGATAACGCAAGTCGCACAGCTTCAGATAAAAAAGAAATAAAATGCATTTTAAGACTATGACCAAATTCGTTTTTGGCCTCGGTAAATAAATCATGTGTTTTGTGGGGAAAATGGTCGAAAATGACCTCTTGCAACATTTACATCCGAGACAAAAATACAAATTTCCGTCGAAAAAGAACATGAGTCTCCGAACACTTGAACGCTAGAGTTTGGTCTGGAATCGACATTTTTCATAAAACATTGGACCGATTGAAATTTCCATAAAAATCACATTTATGGCACAGAGAACTAACTTAAAAAGAGAACTAACTTTATTAGGCTAATTCCACGTAATTTCTGACGAGGAATCGATTTAGAGTTTTTTCAATCCTGTCTGATTGTTGTAGAAGCCCGAAAAATGGCCCTGTTCCAGATTAAATTTTCAACTGAGTATTTTATGTAGAAAATCATCATTGTTTTCCACGAATTTAACTTTTCTGGATTTTAATCGTAAAAGACTTCCATTTTTCAACGGAATAATATATAAATTGTGTTTTTTATGCGTTGTCACTATGTGAAATGATAATCACCATCGAATATTTGCGTTTCCAAGAACGAAAGTAGAATATACTCACAAAAACAGTGCAATTGTAGTAATAAAACAAAATGAGTTGACATCGATATTTGCATTGGAATATTCACTTTAATTGCGTCTTATCTGAATACGGAGCATTGCTACGAGCGAGTAATCAACTCGTTATATATTCATCAACAATTGCCGAGGGCAGAAGTGAGACTTATTCTCCGAGATTATATGAGAGGTCGAGAATAAAAATGACTAAAGTCAAATCTTATGGATCACGATATTTCTGTTTTTCACGTGCAACATAAATTCTGTTCACTTGAAGGTGAATCGTAACATCGATGGCTTCCCATTGAGCCATTCATTCCACCAGCGCAGAAGTTCATATTCCCTCGGACGCCGTGAACTCATGATATCTCACTCACATTTACGTGAAATATTTAACCGTATTTTCATCAACAAAGCAGTTTGCATCACCGCTGAAAAGAAGTGCGCAGTAAACCAACAAAGAATTTGCATGTTTGTGGCGACTTTGCTTTATGAAAGAACGTAATGAGAAATATGATGAAAAATTACGTTAGATAAAAGTATTTTAGTAGCCTTATAAAAGTTCTCATTTGGTATTTACAAAAATTCGTACTTTGATAATGCTTTTATACAGCCTCATAAACACAATTTATTTTAAACAATACTGTGCGCTCCAGTTTCAAAATCTGTTACCGATTTAGGAGACAATGCAAATTGAAAATTGCCTATAAAACCCGCTGCAACTCAAACCCGATCCACAGAAAATTTTCAGTTACTAAAAAGAGCTCACGAGAATAAGTTTGAAACATGAATTTCAAGGTGTTTACAATTTTTGTCGCCATTGGTCTGATGGCTACTGCAGCAAAAACTTCTGCCGCTTCGCCAGATGAAGGTGATTTATTTAATTCATTCATACACATGTTTCGTTGGTTAAATGTCCTATTTTCATTTACTAATAATCATTTTCTGTTTTCACAGACAACTGGGAGAGTTTGAAAATATCTTGTGTGGATAACACTACTTGTTCGCTACAATGCCTATTCTATCCAAAATTCAAGATAGGCGAATGCAGGGAAGGGTCATGTTTTTGCCAATTAAAATACGCTTCGCCGAAAAAAGGTTGGTTTGTTTGATTCAAATACAGCTTTTTCATCTTCTAATAATGGTACAATTTCCAAGCCCACGATCGCTCACGATTTCAATCGTGCACGATCTTCCCTATATTTTGTGCACGATTGCAATCATGAGCGATCGTGGGCCATGGAAATAGTGTTTTAACTATTTCAACTGTTTCCACAGTTGACGAACCATTTGGTAGTTGTACCGAAAGCCTTAAGTGTGCGTTACAATGCCTATCCTATCCAAGATACTCTGGTGGCTACTGCAAGGAAAATACTTGTTTTTGTACTCGCAAATGAATTCACTTCATTCGAATATTTAATCATACTTCCCAATCGCAATGTTTTCACTAAAAATTATAAAAGAGTCTTTTAGAAAAAATGGCTATTTTTTTCTTTTTTTCTTCAATTGATTCTGTCAACATGAAGTTTTTTGGAAATGTATTTTTTAAATAAATGAGTTTACTAACAAGATAACAGTTCGTTTTATCCAGTTTATCAAATAAATCGTCAAAGCGATGAATAAACTCTTCCAATAATTGCCCAATTCACAAAATGAATTTGATCTGGTAATGAACACAAAAATGACAAGCGGATACCATTTGCTTGAAATTGAAGATATCATTTTGTTATTAATTAAGTCTCTTACGTATAGTTCTGAAATGGAATTAGTCTAATTTGCGAAAATAAATTAATTTCACGAAAATGAATTGAAATCTCCTTTTTCTCCTTCAATTGATCAATAACTGTCTTTATTAATTTGTTATACAGTTACATTGCACTACAAATTGTATTTCGAAACAAATATTTTCAAAAAGAAAAAAAAATTCTAATAAATGAGCTATGCCGAGTTGTCTGATGGGATGCTTGCTAAACAGAAGTTAGTTGCGGCAGACGCACACTTTTTGGTCATTGCAGTATCCACCTTTAAAGCCGCGACCAATGCAATGAACAGCGCAGTAAGCATTTGAGCCAATTATATCACAAGTGATGTACTGCTGAGGTAGCTCTGGAAAATTTTCCGGTTGGCTGGATCCTATGAAAGAATATGTAAGTTAGTTCTTAGTTTCAATCACAATTCGATCAATTCATCAGGAAACGATTATATTCCGTTGTATATTTACCCCTTGGCTCGGTTTCCAAATTGACCGGTCGCTGTTCTTGTGGATTAGGCAATGCATCTGATGCGATAGCCATCAAAGCAAAGGTAATGAAAATGGTGAATACTTTGAAGTTCATGTTGAGCTGTGATAATTTAGTGAGTTCTACTTGCAATTCACAAACTTGTGATGTTCTAATGTGAAATTGTAACGACTTTTATAGATGGTTATCGATATCTTCTAGTACTGATATCATTCTATACTTCAGATACACTTTTGATAAGGGAATCCCGGTTGTGATAAGGGGCAATTTAAATCAGTTTAAAGTGTTGTTCGATTGATTACCGACATAATACGTAAGCACTTGCATTTGACTTCGATCAGAATGGCCTCTCAATGGGGATTTTTTTTATTTGGAAGCACAACGATTCTTCAATTATAATTTCTATTGGAAATTACCTTTGAAGGTAGTAAAATAATAAAAAAAAAATTGTTTCATTTTGTGCTATTCGCATGCTCACAACATAGGGGATTTTTTTTGTTATAAGAGAAGGTAACCTAGTAAATCAGTTGAAGTGATTGTCGTTTATATTATAAGAAACGAAAAGATTTCAGTCATTCTTGTTAACTTTAATTTGAATGCGCTAGAAATAAAAGCAACAATCACTCGTCAAGTTTTGCAGCGCGTGAAACAATATCATAGTTGCGAAACTATGAACAAAATCCGCTGGGCCAGCCAAAGAACGATAGTGATGATGAATCATCGCTTCAGGATCCAAAAGTATTGACATTGGCACACAAGTACAGCAAGTCATCGGTTGAAATTATTTCATTCATAGTATTTGGCTTCACCATTTCAAACATTTTAAATGATTCTTTGATTGATCCATTTTCGGTTCAAAATACTTGACACTTATCATTATCATTCCAAAATCAATGAAAAAGCCTGAATCAGTGGAAAATTTGAATATATTTGATTTCCAATTGAGCGATGATGACATGCGAATCATACACACGATGAACAACAATTATAGCTGGCTTATTCAATTCAAATAAGCTCATTTGAACCTTAGATTAAGTCAATAGTATCGACAGTGTAATTTTTCTAGTTTTGGTGCAAAAGTGCTAATATTGTGCTATTATTTCTATTTAAATCACTTGCAGAGCGTATTACACTGTCAATACAACGCTTATGGAAGACCTAACGGGATTATTTTGTAAACAATAAACAATGCGTCCATAAGCGTTAACATAGGCAAACCAAACTCACTAATTTCTTCTATTTTTCCTATTATCGTTGAATAATGTTCTAATTTTACTCATTTAAGTTTCGTGTCTCCCTCCTAGGTTTATCAACACTTCATGTTTCACTTCGGTTTGATTTGCGGATATAATCTATAATTTGTGATAATAGTTGAAGTGACACTTACTTTTATACATGTTGTGAAAATAAAGTTGAGTTTATTTAATAAGTTTGAATATAAAGAAGATTTTTTTGTCGTTGGCCATGCTTGAGTTAATCTCTCATCGATTAAAATAACCTTTTCAATGGCTAGAATAGTGTCTTCTGTAAATTTCACGTAAGTAATTTTTTCTTACGAAGAAGCTTTATGAACTTCAGACGCCAAGTAGAGAGAAAACCATCGAGTTATGTTCCTTCATTCTATGCTTCCTTGCTTTAAAATGTTGCACTTGATAATGGGTCATTACTAATGGCTTTTTTTTCCTTTATGGATGAACTTTTTCACAAATTCACAGAGAAAATTAAAGTCAGCGATTTGGAACATTTGAATTTGTTACTTGTTTTAACAATGAAATATCAGACTGGATGAAACCTGAAAAAATGTTATATATATACAGGACTTCATATAAAAAATCCATTAAGAGATAAAAGAAATGAATGTGAAACATAGTAATAGGATTGATATAAAAGCAATTTAATAGTGAATTTTAATCATACAAATTAAATATCACTGGCAAGACCATATGGTCTCCCCCAAAAATAACTACATGTATTAATCAAGTGTATTTTATAACTAAACCGTTTGAAATTATTTTCAGCAGTGGTCTTTGAACGCTTGTTAGTGTTGTTGTTTTCAGCATTAATATGCACACGTCAAAATGAAATACAAGAAAAAAAAAATTAGATTAAAAAAAAGCTTTTCCTAATCCATTTTGTTATGATTCGATGTTGAATTAATTTATGAAATGGAACTAAATTTACTAAAATGCAACGACATAAAATTGTATGTCTCCGGGTATTTTGATTTTGTGCCAATTTCTTAAAGTTTTTAGCTTATCTAATAATTTGATATTGAGTTCTAATTCAATGGATGCGGATCACTTGCCAGATAATGCCATTGATCGTGAAAGCAATCGGGCAGTCGAATACAGTCCTTCCACTGCTTTAGACGTTTGCCCTTGCTCGCATGTCCGATGACCAATGAACCTAGAAAATCGTTACTTTTTCCAAGATCTTTATCCCAAACCGTGATTATCAATGACTGTTTATCTAGTTCATTGGGACGTGTTTCAAAGTAGAAGTCTTCGTTGAATACCGGATTCAAATTTCGCCATTTTACACTTGTCTTGTATTTTTTGTTGCGGTGCGAGTCGGGCTTTAATTGTCTGGAAATATTTTGAATTATTAGAAAATGAATAAAATTTAAAAATTGATCGAAGAATGTTGATGGGGATTCTTATTGGGTTAATATGGGCTTTGGTTCATCTTATGTCAATTATTATGATACAGACTGCACATTGCACAGTTTCTAGCCTGAATATCATATCATCAAACGTATCTGAACTGAATCGTTCTCAAATCAAATGAATTTTCACTTACAATTTGACAAAGGGATCGGAAAATCCATTGTTATCCATGGCCAAGAGGTTACAACAGCGCTTCACTTGCACGGCCAATGATCGTTTTTTCGTATTATAGCAGAGAGCTATCAGTATCGAACCACGCGTATGATTCACTAAGCTCGCTTCCAAGCAATATTGGTCTTGAATACATAGGGGCAGTGACATTCGATGTGAACCAGCTTCGGCAGTCTGTGAATGAAAAAGTGGAATTTTATATCAAACCAAAAAACAAATCCTAATGTACATCTAAGAAGAAGTATGTATCCTATTATACAGCCAGTATTTGACGTAGTCAATAAATAATAACGAAAAAAATGGGAACAAAGCGTTTTGCGGACCTTTAAAAAACCCTAAAAAAAATCTATTTCAAACTTCAAAAAGGAATCTCCAATCACTTACTGGTCCCAAAGGAATTTTGGCCGTACCCAAAAAGTCGCTACCGTATTTATCTTCATCCAAAAGTACCACATACAATCGCGATGTGGCCAGTTCTTCTGGTTCTACGCCAAAAAATCGAACGGTTTCATTGAACTCAGGGCATCGATTCTTGTGAATGGTTCTTGTTTGAAGCCATTTCTTCTGTTTGAGTTTATCGAATCCGGTAACGATGTTGAGGCGTGCATATGGATCGGGTGGACATGTAATTTCAACTGCAGGCAAATCTCGTGCTCGCAACAGCAAACAGTCTAGAGTGTGTTCATTTTCGCTATATACCAACGATATATCAAGCCAGCCCATTGGTTGTTCTCGGCAAATTTGACTTGAAATTGAGTTCATCGTCATGACCCCAAGGCAAGTGTTATCATTCATCGATGATGTTTCTGATACTGAAGTACTTACTGAGTCACGTCGAATACCTGACCCATTGTATGTGGATGCGGATTCATTTATCGAAACCGAACTGTTATCCGGATATTGGCCATTCGAATCGGTATCACATTTCAACGTGGATGGCGATCGACCAAACAGATTTAGTGACGACAATTTTCGATAGAAAAAACCGTCTTCGTTTAAACTAGATGTTGAATTCGATGGTCGTGAACGTAAACTATTCATTCGCTCCAAAATATATGAACTGCTACGTTTTGCACTAACCGAACTGGATCGCACACTAGCGCCAGCTTCATTTTTTGGATTGTCCTCGTCATACTCATCTGAACTGCTGTCCGTTACTTTGATCCCACGATTTCGAGGCCGTTCTGGTCGTGAAGCATTCGTGAGACTGGTCGATCGAGTGGTTGATAATTTTTGCGGTTTCTCGTAACTTGGAAGACTTTTGTAGAACCAAGCACCAGTTTTCTTCCACATTTCACGAGTTTCCGAACATATTTGACACAACCAAATGTCACGCAGGCTATGGAAATGGGAAAATGAAGAGAAACGTCGAAAAAATGAGTTAAAAGATAGGGAAAATGTTGAATATATTGGAATGAAAAATATGATTTATTCCAATTAATTCATGCGTATGAATTTGGAATTTCGATGTGAGAATTCAATGGCACATATCACTTTGATTCAAGTCTTTGAGTATACACCCTTTTGATTTAGATTATTTTGTGGCTACTTTGACTTCTTTCTTCTTCATATTTATTCATTTGATCAAGGTCACCGTTTACAAAAACCCTTTGAAGTTCAAAATGTGAACCATATACGCAAACCAAGTGGGACAATAATTTCCAAAAAAAGCCTAATCAAGTATCGTCATTGAATTAAATACACGTTGTGTTCGTTGGAAAAACTTGAACTCGTATTACATACGCATAATCATGGTGAATATCGAGCCCATGGTATACCTTCATATTAAATTGACATTGTTAATAAAGGTCAGTTAGTTGAATTAAAATTGTTTACATAGTTAAAGGTGAATCATTTTAGGTTTGGTACAAACATTGTAAAAAATAATCATGAGCCTAAGCGGGCCTAAGTTTGTTTTACCGTATTAAATACCGAAAAAACACTAAAGAGGAAGAAAAAAAAGTCTGTGCCGATTGTGTTATGTTTAGTAAATGACTTACTTAGTGCCATGTTTAACATGAAGTTCGATGGAGCATTTTGAGCAAACGGGCTTGCGGCAATCCTGGCAAATGATTTTCGATGGGCTCAAAAGACCAAAACCTTGACCACACAGCCTAAAACCACAGGAAAAAAAAAGAATATATTCTTAAAAAGCCCACGAGCTGCTTCAATCAAAAACACGAGACCACGTACAAAATCGGCTTAAAACCTTCTATTGTCTTTCAACGCTCTCATTTCAAATTCGAATAATATCAACCCGCAATTTGTATTTACCTACAGTTTCGTGGCCCAAAATCCGTAACGACCCTCTGTTTAATTTTTTCCACTCGTTCAATAATCTTGCCGATGCGTTCGCGTTCTTGTGTTTCCAGCAGTTCGTTCCTCTGTATCACTTCAATAATGCGATCACGCTCAGCTGGATCCAATGACGTTGCCTGTGATGTTTTCCCCGTACTCCATCCCGTTCTTAGTCTTTGTGTGTGTGTGTGGTGGGGTTAAAAACAGCATGAAATTAGAAGGTCAAACAATATTTGGCAATTATTTTCAATTGCGTAGGAAACAAAAACAAGTGTTTCACAAGCAGATGCATCAACGTCAATCCCGAAATGATGGCGTTGTTGTTGTTTGAACATGAATGAACTTGGCGTTACGAATGTACGAAGAAAAAACACGAAACACACGCACAAGATATCAACGAATGGCTTCGTTGAACTTGCTTCATGAACTTGTAAACAAAGTAATTTATGCAAGTTAGTCATCCATTTTAAATTAAATGGAAAACGAAACCGAGTCGTTGGGAAAAACAAACATGACAAGAAAGTCAATGTCTTTTGGTGAAGTGAAAGAAATAAACAATGTGCACGTACGAAAAATTTGCGTTGGAAACACCGAATATCATCATCATCACAAATGGCACATCGAAGTAAACAAATCACTTTGATTCAAGAACGAAAGGCGAACGGGCCGCATGCACGCTTAAATATTCAACATTTTTCGAAGAAAATTGTTTAGTTGCTTTCGAAAAATAGCTGACGCCTACTTTACTTTCCATAAAAATTTTATGGACCGAAGCCGAGATTATCCAGTCAATTTTTGTTCTTTTTTCTTTCGTAGTACGGCTTTTCTTTCATTCTTCCCTAAGGGAAGTTCCCTTCACTCACTCGTTCTGTTGCTCGCTCCTTTGTTTTTTTCGTTCACTCATTTCGTTTACTTATTCGTTCGCTCGTTCTTTCATTCGTACGCTCACACTTTGGAGCCATTCACTTGAACGGCCATAACAAAGCGAATGCATAATTAAATTGAACTATTTGATGACAAGAGGAAAAATGCGAGAAAAATAATATCAAATCAACAAGAGAATTGAAATCAAGGGATGGAGGTGAATGCCAACAAAGTGAAACAGAGACGACAACGACAACAGCGACGACGACGTTGATGACAACAACAACCGCAAAATACGGTGCGTAATATTGATGGCAACTCGAAATTGTTGATATATTATGTGTGTGTGTATTAAACAAAATGTGCAATCACTCTTACTTGGCTCTCAATGCTAGCTGTCTATCGCTAGGACAAACGTTGAATTTCATATCATTGTCTCGCCCTTGGAAACTCATTATATGATAAAAAAAAGAAAGAAAGAGAACAGCAACTAAGCCAGCACACTCATTGATTACATAGCTCACTTTCCAATAAAACCGATAGCTGAACGATGCTGGTGCTGCTGCTGCTACTTTTGCCCACAATTCACAGTCGCGCGTTATTTATTTATTTGTTGCTCCTTTTTCTCCGCTCTCTTTCTCTTCTTTTGGGACACTTTATCGATTCGCTGGGCTGAATATTGTGATTCGAATTATATTTTCACGCCATCAAAACATATGGACTTCATTTAATATCAGATAAGATTCTTGTTTACTTTTATCGAATGGTTTTTATTTTATTGGATTTTCCACGAAAAAATGGTTAATTGAACGTTGTCTAGGAACTTCTTTTTTTTAATGAGTAACACAATACACCTAATCGAACACACCCACAAGAGATTATATCGTATTGTGTCGAAGCTTTTCGAATGCAGAAAATTCAAATTGATATTTTATTCAACGATTTGTCGTTTCGTACATGGAAAAAAAGAATTGACTTGTTTTTGTCTTTGAATCACTTGAATTTTTCATGAACAATGAACTTTTACATCCACTTGAACAAGTCAACAACTCTAATTGGAAAACTTTATTCACATTCTGGAATCAATGTGACCGGTGATACAATAAACAAAACACAATACTTCGATATCGTTGTCATTAATTACATGTTTGAATCACAATGAAAATCATAAAATGGCTTTATAGCAGGCTACATAACCATTCGAATAGTGGTGTGTGTAATGGTTGGATTGAAAACTATTTCAATTTTCTCGGGTTATGTTCGCGCTGATTATTTTGCGATGGTTTCCGTTTGACGCCTGTTGCACGACTGATGTGATAAGCACAACAACAGTTTTCTTTTTTTAACTATTCACTTGACGAATTGCGTGTATTCCATCAATGTTCGTTTCCAATGATTTTCATTGCGCACGACACGACGCGTACTCATTCGTCAGGTCGTCGGATGCGTTTGTTTCGTCTTTATCCTCCACCCTGTTAGCTTACAATATATATTGAAACTTTGTTACTAACGTTGTCGTCGATTATTATTTTATTCATATTTTTTTCTTTTGCTTCTTTACACATAATTCACATTACATGCTTAAGGGTAAAGCATCAATAATCCCATCGATGCCAAAGCATTATAAAGTATTACAATGTAAATAACACATGGATTTGGAGACGACGGTTCTGACAAAATGTAAACATATGGATAATACTTATCGATAGACGATGTGACAAACGACACGATGTGCCAGCAGCAATACACAACAATGAGTCAGCTGTCGAATCAAACACGCAATAATTTCCACCCAATCATTATAGCAACACAGTAACGTACTCATTGCGCGCGGGGGTCCCATGCGGATATCACTACACGCACGCGAACACGCTTCCAATGTCAATGTGTATCGCTTTTATGGATAACGATGTCGACACAAACGAATGAACGAGGGAAAAAAATACACACAAACACCAAATTAAATGTAAATTGCTTCAAGACATTCGCCTCGGTTCAGTGCGTTGCAATAGCAATGGATTTTTTATACGATACCAATAAAATACACACTTTTTTCCATGTTTTACATACTTTTTTCATTTGAACTGTTTTTTTCACTCGATTTGAATACCATTTTATTGCAATAAATGTTCAAACATTTTCGAGGACGATAATCTCTTTGGAAAGTAACCAAATACAGTAGCTCAACGGAATTTTTTCCATGAATATGCGGATAAAATTGCATAGCAATTTACATGATTTTCTGTCGATTGATTTTGATTAATCGCTCTCGGGTTGCGGATTATCGTGATTTATTTCAATTTTTTGCCTAACACTTGAGGACGCTTTCAGAGTAAAATTGTTGTTGTTGTTTTTCAATTTTTCCCGACATTGTCGTTCTTTCTGAATATGATATGAGCATTGGTCTAATAACTTCCATGCTAGCCGCACAGCGCACATCATACTATATGCATGTTCAGAAATTTTGAAAAAATTTAAGTCCCATTTTAGGTTAAAGTTTGAGCACTTGGAATCGGCATCAAAGTCAGATACTCAGTAAACTAATACAAAACAACAGCCGAAATATGAAGAAAAAGTGATGAGTTTATGGTATATAACAACGTTTGAACCAAACGAAACAGCAACAGAGTTTGTGTATGAAATGGGAATATATGAAAATTTTGTTTTTTTTTTTTCGAGTTAAAACCCCAAATAACTTCTGAATTAGGTGAAAAAGTTTGATGCGATAAAAAATGTGAGACGTTCAAAGTATGTTCCTATCTACTTGCCTTTGGAATATGTAGAACGTTGTCACATCAAAAAATGAATTAAAGTTCCACCGAATCAAACGGTTTAGAGCCAAATTTCAATTTCTTTCCAAATTTCGTGTTAATTACAAGTTCTGCTATTCTTTAAATCTAAGTCCATAGATTTGTGTATACGAAATGGATCCAGCTCTTCAAATATCCAGACAATTTGATGCATTTTTGAATGAATTTACGGAATCATTTTCAGGTTTTGTGAATTTATCAAAACTTGTCGAAACGAAACAAAGTCAACTTTTTTTCATGTGTTTTGTTAAGGCCAAGAAGTGTTTGCGTTTGGCGTGTATCTCGTTCGAAGAGATATGTGCATTAAAGGGGATCGAACCAGAGTTGTTAAACTAACGTTTGATCGTCAAAAAATTGAGGTTTTTGTTCAGAAAGGAAATGGTGTTGCCAGTTATTCATTGGGACGAATTGCAATTTATTTTGCAACATGTTGCTACTGCCAGACAATTTTACTGCCCAGAGAACTCAAACATTTTACTGACCATGATGAATACAATGATGGCGAATTGAATTGGGCAGAACGAAAAATGACTGAGTGTATTCACAGAAACCCGAAGTTTGAATACATTCCAGATGCTTATGATCCGTTTCAGAGCTTTGTCATTCGGTTCGAAGTAATTTATAATCGATTCAGTAAAATGCTTGCAGGTCGGTAAATGTGGAGGAGAGTAATAGTATAGAATTAATTACCGCTTACATTTTTTAGATAAAGAGGTTATCGTTATGGACCCAGATGATGATGTGTGGTACCTGGTTGAAATTGTTGATCTTCAAGTTGATTCAGAATCGGATAACTTTGTTTACATAGTCAACTATTCACGTGAAGCGCCACCGAATCTCGAATCGAATCTACGTGTTCCGGTGAACCCAGAATTAGTCTGTCTCGATTTTGGTCAATGCGAACATTGCCTGGAATATATGCCTGGACCGGAATTGTTCGAGCATTTATTTGAATGTCATCAGAATTGATATGAATCGATCAAAAACAAAATAAGAACAAAAAAGTTTCAGAAAAGTCTTCCAGAAATGCGAGACAAAGTATATTCTGGTTAGTAGATAAGAAATTAAAAAAACACTCAAACTGCGTATTCGTTGAACAATTTTAATGGTCACATCGAATCGATTGGTAGTTGTTGAGTCTTGAGTGCTTAAAAATTTTAATTCATTTAAAAATAAAATCGAAAATTATTTATCTTTAATTTTCGTTGACTCTGAATTACTGAAATGAAATAAAGCTCCTGAAAAGACCGTATCAAGCTTTTTGACAAAGCTCTATGATTGAATACTGTGAATGAACTGGAAAATAATGTCAAATTTGTGAAATGTTTCCTCAAGACAGGCTTCCCGTGCATCTTTTGCAAGGAACCCCATCTAGAAAGTAGACAAATAGCTGAGTGACATCACCATGATTCAAATAATTTTATTATTCATTTCGGAAATATAAGAATAAAAGTAGAAAAAAAAATGAATTTTCGTATTGTGAAAATATTCGATTTTTCATTCGGTTCACGTGTAAATTACGTTTTATTTTCTCATTGTTTTGACTGGTTTGACATAATTCTATTTTCGCTGTGACTGATTTATTTTGCGTATTTTTTAATTTGGTTGGATTTTGCGGAATTTGAATTGATATATATCTATTTTGGAAGTTTTGAATTTATTGATTTCTATTGAATTTAAGAACGTATTTTCTTTTATTTTCATTTAATTTAAAATCTTACATCTAATGAGAAAGGTAAGGAATTATTTATAGGATTTTATAAGAAATTCCGAAAGTTTTGTCCATTGTACTATTTATCGGTAGTTCTACAAGTACAATAACTATTCTATCTTAACATAAATACTACTTGACTGACGTTACTTACTTCTTGGTTTTTTGTGAATAAAATGTTTCTCGTTCACTATTTTCGTTAGTGTAATTTATACTGTGTAAATAAAAATGACAGTCAAAATGAATCCAATGTGAATTCAGCCCGTTCAATCTCCACCATCCACAATCCCGCCGGCACCACTAACTCACGATGTGCTTTGAATTAAAGCCTTTCAGATTCTATGCGTTAATTTCTTGCGAAATAATTTCATTGAGAATGTTGGTGAGTTCAACATTCTCGATGACAGTCAAATGATGACCTTCCACATATTTGACATTCACTTCGTGTTCGGAATATTTGTTCAAATTGTAATCCGCATTGATATCGGCGAATGAAACTTCGGTTGGTCGAATTAAGATAATGGATGCCTTCAACTTGGTGTCTAATATATTATCCATCACATCCTCTTCCACAATAAGCTTGAGACGATTCAGAATAGCCACTATCATGTCATGCAAATATTCTGTTGAATATTTGTTTTTGTATTCAGACGACACAAATTTAGCCAAACATTCGAGTTTCGCTGGAATATTAGGGCAGGCTACTAATCCTTTGACGAAGTCTTCGACGGACTCTGGATCGCAGAAATGGCTAAAAAGAATCATGAATAGATCGTTCTCAATGTTGCCTTCAACGTGTCCGCTCTGGCAAATGCCCTTGGCTAATCTGAACAAGTATTCGGGTGAACCATCGACTAGAACGAGACGACCAACTTTGCCCATTTTCTCAAGCATTGACGCAATTCGCAGTGCAATTAATGAACCGAACGAATGACCAACGATGAAATATTCTTTTTGATTGGCGAAACATTGCGAAACTTCTTCGAATATGGACTCGGCGATTCCAGTTATACTACTTTCATTTCGGGATTTCATCAATTGAAGCAATTTCGATGGCACTTTCTGGAAACAGTACGGAATATAAAGAATTTTTACTTAGAGAAAGTCCAAACAATGGTTCAAAAATTAAAGAAATGAAAAACAATTCTTACCATATTTAACCCTAAAGTTTTCCAATTTGGTCCGCATACACCCTCGATTCCTGTGGACAGAAAGAGTATTAATCAACAAAAATAATATTCATTTTCAATAAACTTTGTGTCACTCACCTGGAATGAAAATGATTTGTGGTGATTTGGCCTCCAATTCGTTGATGGGCAACAGTGTGATATCTCTAACTGATTCATCGCCCAAGTTTTGGAACAGGTATTTCGGAAGTTCTTCTTTGTTCGATACTTTTGCTTCAGGTTTGGCTCCAGAGCTCGACAATTCATCCAGTTTTGCAAAAGTCATCGAACGCAATTGTTGAGGCGTCAAAAACACGTCGAATTCACGTTCCATCACTTGTTTTATTTCGACCGACATCAAGCTATCCATTCCTAGCTCGGCCAGTGATGCGTTTTTCGAGATGGATTTGATATCACGAATGCCCATAATTTTCATTACACTCTTGATGAGAGTCATTTGACCGTCTTGACCCGCCTCACCCGCATGTTTATCAGCCACTACTATGCTGGAGACAATGGCCTGCGGTGAAGTAAGCAAAGTATCCAAGACTTTCAAACAAGACTCGATGCGTTGTTGCATCGTGCCAACAACCTCGATATCTTTTCCCTTTGACATCTCAGCAACGAGACCGACCTCTCCGATTGCACCCCATTGGATGGCTTTGCCCGGCAGCTTCTCCTGTAACCGCTGCTCTATGATGCGCTCCATTATCGAGTTGGCCATTCCGTAGTTCGATTGGCCAGCGTTTCCTCTGCCACAAGATGCGCTTGAAAACACCACAAAGTGTTCCAGTTTCGGACATAGAATTCGTGACAACTCATTGAAGTACTGGGTAGCGATGGCTTTTGGTCTGATACTTTCTTGGAACTTTTCTACCGATTGGTTTTCTAGAATGCTGTCACGGAGCACAACGGCCAAATTGAACACACCACCAATTTGTCCGTAAGTCAGTGACTCTACAAACAAACTCTTTGCACCTTGATACGTTCCAATGTCGGCCGTGTTGATGATTACTTTGCAACCGTATGATTCCCAGAGACTGTTTGAAAAGGAAAAAAATCGTCATTTACATTTAAGTTGCATTAGTCAGTATTAAGGATAAAAGAATGAATTACCTTATTCTGAATGCCTGATATGAAGTGGTAATACCTCGTCGTGAGTTCAATACTAAAATTCGAGCTCCACGAACCACAAGCCAATCACACAGTTCCACACCGAAACCGCCTAATCCACCAGACACGATGTAAACCAAATCCGGTTTGCAATAAACTTTCGGGTTCACTTTTATTGGAACTGATGCTAGTGATTGTTCCGATTCTCGCATTTGAATCATCACTTTCCCGACATGTTTTCCAGTGCTCATGTAACGATATGCTTGTTCAATCTCATTGACATGGAACACGGTTGAGTGGAGCGGCTGAATTACTCCAGTTCTCAAATCTTTGTCAATCAATTCGTGAATGATCTTACGTACTTCAGGCATATACATCAAATTATCTGCAAAAATGGCTCTGAATGTGGTTTCTTTTTCGAACGCACTCATTCCCAAAGCTGAGTTATTCATGATATCGAATTTTCCAATCTCTAAGAATGTACCGCCACGTGCCAAACAACGCAATGAGGCCAATAACTTGTCATCAGACAACGAATTCAAGACAAAATCAACACCTCGGCCTTTTGTACGACGCATTACCAAATGTTCGAACGAAGAATCTCGTGAATTGCCGATGTTTTCCTCTGAAAGCATGAAATAAACAGGTCATTTTATCAACCCTTTGATGATTTTTTGTTTATTTTGGAAATGTGTGCATACCCTTTAGTTGTGGGAAGAGACCAAGGATGAATTTTCGTTTCTGTTGTGTTGAAACCGTGGTGAAGACTTCTAAACCATAAGCCAGTGCAATGCGGATAGCTGAATGGGGACAATTTAATTAAATTAATTAATTGAATTTGCAACACATTAACTTTTTATAACAAAATGAAAATAATAATCGTTTACCAGCCAACCCGATGCCTCCACTACCTGTGAAAACAATAAATGGAATTAGTATTAGTTCTCAACGATTCAAGTGCTAGAAACGTTTTCTGTGATCCATATACAAATGCATATAAAGTGATCAGAACTTACCGGCATGAATCAAAATTGAGTTGCCACGAACGATGGATCTGCCAAAGAAGAATGCGTAATATACCGTGATATAAACAGCTGGAATAGTGGCACCATCACGTAATGACCAATCTTTGGGCACAATCCATGTTAAATGTTCAACTGATTGAACTTGTGTTGCCATCGCGCCTGCCTTAATCATGCCCATTACACGTTCGCCACAAGTATTGATTCCAGAGAATTCAAATCCCAGCACACAATCACCATCAACCCGCGAACCATGGCATGATTCGGTTGAAAGTCGACCAGTGGCTAACATTACATCTTTGAAATTAATTGATGAGTAATGAACGTTAACTAATTTATCGACTGTTGGCTTTAACGACCCATTGAACCAATCAAACGAAGACAAATCGCCAATTCGTTGAACATTAGCATAAACATGATCCAAACGTGCCGTTTCTTGCAGATTTGGTTTTAGTTCAAAGAAACGATACGTTCCCCAAACTGAGTTACGGTAAACGTTTATCGCCAATCCAAGATCCAATTGAGAGGCATACAGACTGTTCTC